TCAGTCGTCCGCCTGTCTCTCAGTCGTCCGTCACTCACTCAGTCGTCTATCCGTCACTCTTTCGTCCGTCCGCCACTCAGTCGTCCGCCTGTCTCTCAGTCGTCCGTCACTCTCTCAGTCGTCCATCCGTCACCTTCCGTCCGTCCGCCTCAGGTCGTCCGCCTGTCTCCTCAGTCGTCCGTCAACTCTGACCCAGTCAGTCCATCGCCCACTTTGTCCGTCCGCCACCAGTCGTCCGCCTGTCTCTCAGCGTCGTCCGTCACTCACCAGTCGTCCATCGGTCACTCTTGTCCGTCCGCCACCAAATGTCCGCCTGTCTCCTCAGTCGTCCGTCACTCACCCGGTCGTCCATCGGCCTTTGTCCGTCCGCCACCAGTCGTCCGCCTGTCTCTCAGTCGTCCGTCACTCACTCAGTCGTCTATCCGTCACTCTTTCGTCCGTCCGCCACTCAGTCGTCCGCCTGTCTCTCAGTCGTCCGTCACTCACTCAGTCGTCCATCGGTCACTCTTTCGTCCGTCCGCCACTCAGTCGTTCGTCCGTCACTCGGTCGTCCTGGTGTTGGCCTCACAGTACCAGGAGAAAGGTCGACCTCCCCTCCCCCCCCAGTCAGGTAGAGTAGAGTTGATTGGCTCTTACCTGACGACGGTGTGTACTTGGCAACATTGTTTGGTCTTTTCACGATCAATATGGCCAAAATAGGTGTATCGTGACCTGTATAAAGTTGGTGTGTGTCATGTGTCGGTAGTGTGTCATGTGTCGATAGTGTGTCATGTGTCATGCTGTGGGTAAAACTACATGACAGTCTCTCCTGATCGACTCGAGGAAAGGTTAGAAGAGAGAGAGAGAGAGAGAGAGAGAGAGAGAGAGAGAGAGAGAGAGAGAGAGAGAGAGACCTACCTTGTTTAAGACGTGGGTGAATGCAAATGGCCAAGTTAAGTGAGGGGACAATAAAAATATAATGGGAGAGGCGACACACGCTTATAAGGCAAGTCGCCAGGTGTGTTTGAGATACCTGTAGATATGTTGACGTGTAGTGGTCATATACTGGGTGACGTGTGTGTGTGTGTGTGTGTTATGCATGACAGTATATTGGGTGACAAGAGTGTGTGTGTGTGTGTGTGTGTGTGTGTGTGTGTGTGTGTGTTATGCATGACAGTGTATTGGTTGACAAGAGTGTGTGTGTGTGTGTTATGATGACACTTTACTGGATAACATCAGGGGGTGACGTCATATACTTCCTTAAACATCAGAGGTAACATCAAAGCATCACAAGGAAGTTGACCTAACATCATATTTTGGCATCAACAACAAAAACAACAAAATATTCTCACTTTTTTTCCTTTCTTCCCTAAACTAAACCATTCCCACCATGCTGATATATATATATAGTTAAAACTCTAAAGTAAAGTCATGGAGTAATTAAAAATACCCAGAGAACAACAGGTGGTGGTGGAGGTCAGGTAAAGACTTGGTTTATATCTCAGTAGAGATAGTGGTTAAAAGACTTCAATAAGGTCAAGGGAAGGTTATATTATTAATTAATTGTCTTAGTGGACTGTTATTTATTTACCTCCACCACAGATGACTTGTGTAGAGTTCTTTTATTTTCATTATTTGACCATCTGTCGTGATACTGTGATGTGTGTGATGTATTTGGTGGTGATTGGTGTAAACTGTGTGGTGTATTTGGTGGTGATTGGTGTAAACTGTGTGATGCATCTGGTGGTGATTGGTGTAAACTGTGTGGTGTATTTCGTGGTGATTGGTGTAAACTGTGTGGTGCATCTGGTGGTGATTGGTGTAAACTGTGTGGTGTATTTGGTGGTGATTGGTGTAAACTGTGTGGTGCATCTGGTGGTGAATGATGTAAACTGTGTGATGATTCTGGTAGGGACATTAGACTAAGAAACATACAGTATGGTATGATGAGACACAGGTGTGATAAGACACAGGTGTGATGAGACACAGGTGTGATGGGAGGCAGGTGCAATGGGAGGCAGGTATGATGGGAGGCAGGTGTGATGGGAGGCAGGTGTGATGGGAGACAGGTGTGATGGGAGACAGGTATGCGATAGGAGTGTAAAGTGATGGGAGGCAGGTATGATGGGAGTAGGTATGATGTGAGGCAGGTATGATAGGAGGCAGGTATGATGGGAGGCAGGTGCAATGGGAGGCAGGTATGAGGGGAGGGGTGCAGGTGATAGGGAGGCAGGTATGATGGGGAGGCAGGTGTGATGGGAGACAGGTGATGGGAGACAGATGTGATGGGAGACAGGTGATGGGAGGCAGGCAGTGATGGGAGACAGGGTGTGGATGGGAGACAGGTGATGGGAGCATTAGTGTGATGGGAGACAGGTGTGTGATGGGAGACAGGTGTGATGGGAGACAGGTGGATGGGAGACAGGTGATGGGAGACAGGTGTGATGGGAGACAGGTGGGAGCGGGGAGACAGGTGATGGGAGACAGGTGTGATGGGAGACAGGTGTGATGGGAGACAGGTGTGAGGGGAGACAGGTGTGATGGGAGCATAGGTGTGATGGGGAGACAGGTGATGGGAGACAGGTGTGATGGGAGACAGGTGTGATGGGAGACAGGTGTGAGTGGGAGACAGGTGCAATGGGAGGCAGGTATGATGGGAGGCAGGTGTGATGGGGAGACAGGTGATGGGAGACAGGTGTGATGTGGGAGACAGGTGTGATGGGAGACAGGTGTGATGGGAGACAGGTAAGATGGGAGACAGGTGGATGGAGACAGGTGTGATGGAGACAGGTGTGGATGGGAGACAGGTGTGATGGGACAGGTGTGATGGGAGACAGGTGTGATGGGAGACAGGTGTGATGGGAGGGAGACAGGTGTGATGGGAGGCAGGTATGATGGGAGGCAGGTGTGATGGGAGGCAGGTGTGATGGAAGCAGGTATGATGGGAGGCAGGTATGATGGGAGACAGGTGTGATGGGAGGCAGGTGTGATGGGAGACAGGTGTTATAAGACACAGACAGGAGACGCATCCATCACTTTAGTCAATATAACCAATCATCTGTGTGTGTGTGTGTGTGTGTGTGTGTGGTAATTAAATAACAATGGCCTTGATTGTATCCAAGATTGAAATTGAGTATTTATTTATTAAGAGCAACTAATAAGATTCAAATAACCTTTAACTCTCGACGCCTTTGTGTGGACGGAGAGCAGACAACACCTTAACAAGACTCTCACAGACTCACACTGTAAAGGGTTAAAGACTCCTCGTGTTAGGCTAAACAGATATACTTTTAGGACATTATTATGGAGAAATAGAGTCGAGTCAGCCTAAAAAATTTCCCCATCTACGGCCTGGGTTGTTTCTCATTAAATACCAATAAAGAATATATGGACAGAGGCTCACTGGCCGCTGTTTAACGTCAATAATACATCGTTCTTGGCCGGGGAAAAAATCTACCGACAAAGCGTGCATTTTTAACGCCTCCCCAAAACTCGGGTTATTCTTCATCGTTGAGGGACAGATAGTTAATATTAATCTCAAACTTTGTGCCAGCCTTCGCCCCAGCCGTCGAGAATACTAAGTAAATAAAATGTGTAAAATAATTGAAGGAATGGATGGTTTATTGTGGCAAAACTTTGGAACTGATTATAATATTGTCTTTGGTCGGTGGAGAAAGTTATATATTCTGTGTGGGCGTCCCGGCGCGGGCTGGTGGCGCGGCGAACAGCAAATATAACGTGGGGATCTTTAATGAAAAACTCGCTTTTATTCACTCGGAAAGGAACTCGCCCAGGGAATTCTGAAGGAGAGTGAGGATTTCACCTGGTAGGGGAGGTAGAGGCCAGGGTGAGGGTGGAGTACAAAGGCAGGTTGTAGAAGGGTGAAGCATGTCGATGTAGGAAGGAGTTTGTAGAATGATTTTAACTTGAGGCAGAGGAGTGTTTTGTGCCCCTTAAGGTGATAGTCTTGTGGTGTGGCAGGTGTTGTGGGGCTTCTTACGCTGCCACCAGGCCTATACCTACTCACATCTGCCCACAGCACCTTCCACACACTCCCACACACATCCCCACACACGCTACCCCTACCCACAATCCCCCAACCCACACAATTCCCCCCCCCCCCCTCCCTCCAGCTAACATCTTAAAATTGTAGTCTAATGATTTGTTTAATGTTTTCTGGCTACTAAGTTGAATATACAACTTTTGGGAGTATTTCAGTGGCCACGGCTCCCAACCTTTTGAGTTTCTTCCTTACCTCACGTTTATCCCATATTATCTTTAACCTTATGTTTATTTCTCTTTATTCCTTCTCTATTCCCTTTATCTTCCTCTTTCTCCACTCCCTCTTCTTCTTTCTTCTCTTCCTCTTCCCTCCCTGTTCCTGCTCCTCCTCCCTGCCTCTTCTTCTTCCCCCTCCTCCTCCTCTTCCTCCTCCTACTTCCCTCTTCCATCCTCCCATCTTACTATATGACCACCTCTTATCCTCACTCCTTTACTTCACTACTTTACCACCCTTCAACTTCTCCCTCACCCCCATAATCCTCCAACTTTGTCCCTCATCCGTCATCTCCCTCACACCTCCCAAACCCGTCATCCCCCTCACCCGGCACCTCCCTTACACCTCACTCACCAATCACCCTCTCAACCGTCACTTCCTCACCAATCTCAATCCTCCCCCACCCCCCACCTCCCTCACCAATCAAGCCCCTCGCCAATCACCCCACCTCCTCACCAATCACCCTCTCAACCGTCACTTCCTCACCAATCTCAATCCTCCCCCACCCCACCTCCCTCACCAATCACCCCCCACCTCCCTCACCAATCACCCCCCCTCCCTCACACCTCACTCTTTTCTAGTATTAATCTCGTTTTGAACTTATGATATTGGGAGCTAGTTTCATGGCTAGTAACTGTCCGCTAGTAGGTTAGAATATTGAAGGAAGGAAAAAACTCCAATTACCTGAAGATAAGACACTGCAGTTTATTTTACCTGGAAGATAATGTTTACCTGTGTGTTCCAGGTTGGCTGTGTCGCTGGGTGCTGTTCTCAGAGGTGCCACACGGTAAGTACAGCTCCTCTCCTTGGGATCACCTGAAGATTAGGCATCCCAGTTTATTACTCCTGATGAATAAACACCCTAACGCTAACCTAACCTAAGCTGACCTGATCTAACCTAACCTAACCTAACCTAACAAACCCTAACCAAGCCTCCACCCACAAGGTAGCGTTAGGGTCGTTAATCGTCAGGTGAAATAGTTTATTAGTGTTTGTTTGTATATTATCAGCATATAATTGCAGGTGTTGGGGAGAACATACCGGCAGTACTCTTTGGTATCGTCATGTCCTCAGGAATAGTCGGGTCGTGTGTGTGTGTGTGTGTGTGTGTGTGTGTGTGTGTGTGTGTGTGTGTGTGTGCTGGACCCGGCTTTGAGGTTCGGTATAAATTTGAGTTAAAGTTGGCATTATTTTGTATTTTTGGGGAAAGTTTATATGAAGTTGTATTTTGGGAAAAGTTTATGTTTAATTCTATATAGGGGAAAGTTCTCACTGTATTTTGGGGTAAGTTTGTGTGAAGGTTTATTTTGGGGAAAGTTTGCATTAAGTTGTATGGTTGTGAAAGTGTGAGTCTTAGTGGTTGATTGAGTCTCACTTATGATTCCGCTGTTGTAAGGAGACATCAACTCACTCATACTCTGGCCTTGTTGGTGGCACTCTAAGTCTTCAAGTAATATTATCAGCTGAACATCAGAAACCACTTGAAGATTAACCACCTCAACATGGCTTCACAAGCGGGCGTTCATGTCTAACTAATCTATTAACATTCTTTTCATCTGTTTTCGAATCAGTGGACGAGGGGCACAATTATGATGTGGTATATCTCGACTTTAGCAAAGCCTTCGACAGAGTCCCCCACGAAAGACTAATAAGAAAAGTGGAGGCTCATGGCATTAAAGGAGAAATTCTAAAATGGATTAGGGCGTGGTTACAGGACAGGAAACAGTGAGTGAGCATTAACGGCACTAAATCCAATTGGAGCAACGTCACTAGTGGAGTTCCCCAAGGCTCAGTACTTGGACCATTATTATTCATTATATACATAAACGACATAGATATCGGCGTAGACAGCAACATAAGTAAATTTGCTGATGGCACTAAAATAGGGCGTGCAATTAAATCTGACGACGACTCCGCAAAACTACAGGAAGATCTAAACAAATTTTTCGAATGGTCTGAAAAATGGCAGATGAGATTCAATGTGGACAAAAATGTGAAGTACTCAGTTTAGGAGATGTGAACAGGGAAACCAGATACCAGATAAACAACGATGTTATTGAGAAATCCGACTGCGAGAAAGATTTGGGAGTAATGATAAGTAGGAATCTTAAGCCAAGTAAACAATGTGTATTTGCTCGAAACAAGGCTAATAGAGTACTTGGGTTCATACAAAGGAGTGTTAGTTACAAGACTAGCGAGGTCATCTTAAAACTATATCTTGAGCTTGTGAGACCTCACTTGGATTACGCAGTTTAATTCTGGTCACCGTACTACAGAATGGATATAGAATCCCTGGAAAGAATTCAGAGGAGAATGACAAGACTAATCCCGGGCATTAGGAACCTCGAGTACAGAGACAGGTTAAAGCTTCTTAATTTGCACTCCCTCGAGAGACGTAGAGCGAGGAGCGATATGATCGAGGTGTATAAATGGAAGTCAGGGCTGAACAAAGGTGATATAACAAAGGTACTCAAACTATCCAACCAGGAGCGAACTCATAACAATGGTTGTAAATTAGACAAATTTAGATTTAGGCGCGAAATAGGTAAACATTGGTTTGGAAATAGAGTAGTGGATGAGTGGAACAAGTTACCAAATATCATCATTAACTCGAATACGCTGGATAGCTTCAAACATAGGTTAGATGGATATATGAGCAATAGGGGTTGGGTGTAAACGGGACTGCCCAGTATGGGTCAATAGGCCCGCTGAAGTTTCCTCCATTCTTGTGTTCTTACCCAAGGAGGTTAGGTTAGGTTAGGTTAAAGTTTGACTTCCTTTCCCTGCAGGACCCACAACTAGTTAGCATTGTTATTCTCCTTATAAATGAAGCTCCCCTACTCTCTCCTACCCTCGCCTTTAAAACAATTATATACCTAAAACTTAAACGGTATAATATTGACACAGTGAAAGGTGAGGGTTGAGTCCTTGTAATCATCCTTCAAGATAGATATTCTTTTGAAACTAAGCTGAATGCTAACTTAAGCTTCTCTTTGTTGTGTTGGGTTCACTGTATACTGTTCACTCCAAGCTTTCAACTGAGCCAAAGTCGAAGGAAGCTCGTGATTTTGTCGAGTCACCCAGGGTACATAACAGTGGTGAAATAACCACACACGTCACTCACTGATCTGTTTTACCTCTTTTCTATTCACTTTAAGTTTAAGATATCTACGTTATCAATGCGTTTTACTTGATAATTTCTACCCTCCAGGCTTCCGATATCATTCTACATCACCACTTAGGTTAATATTGCTCGCAATTGTAGTCTATAAAGGAAATTAAGTGAATAATGTAGAGGTTTTAGATTAGCCCAACGCACCTCATTCCACCAGCCGATCAGCTTCATCGATAAAACCTGCTCAAGGCTCTGGTTACAAAGCTCAAGTGAACGGAGTAATGTTTGTATTAGTGTTGGTTTCCAAAGTTGAAATTTCTTGTAAACTATAATTAATAATAAAGTGGTGAAAGACCCATGATAAGATGGTGCTAGATAAGGTGGCACTAGTTTATTGAGGCTTGTGTATTCCTCCGCCAAGACAGATGGCTTAGTCAACAATATATAGTGGTGTGTCTGTCGGGTCCCAACCAGTCTTCAGAGATGGTGGGGGGAGAGGCCGGATATTAACCCTTATGATAGTAAATAAAACTTTGGCTTATGTTTATTAGATTACGTTTGTGTTGTTGAAATGAACCCGGTGTTAAAATCTATGAGAACTATGATAACAAACTTTAACTTGTTTATTGTTTTGTTAAATTTATTGAAAACATGTTGAGACACGTATAAAAGATCGCCTGAAGATTTGCCCTTCTCCGCCAGTTTATTTCACCTGAAGATTGAACACCCTTAACGTTAAACTAACCCAACTCAACCCAAGGGCGGATCTAGGGGGTCCTTGGGGTCCGGACCCTCCATTTTCATCAGAAAATTCCAATACCTTTTCTTTAATGTAGTATTGTACTCAGGCGTTTTTGTATAGTAAAAAGTATTTACTATTGACCTCAGAATATCTCCTAATATCAGGTGCACATGGCTTCAAAATGGCCTCAAAATGCCCATGATATTGGTCAGATTTAAAAAAAAGTCTGGGGGGTGAGGTTACACCCCCTCAAAAAAAATGGGTGGCCCCGCTGTGCTCACCGTGTTCCCCTTCCCACAACTTCTTGGACCCCACTTTTGATATTCCTGGATCCGCCCCTGCAACCCAACCCAACCCAACCCAACCCAACTTCAGGTTTATGTTTGCAAAGGGAAATATTTTTCTTCCTACAGTATTTGTAAATGGTTAATAAATTACAATAATAATATGGTAGGTGAATATCTACTGTATTATTTATAAGTCTGGTACTATAATTCTAAAATTAAAGAGTATTGGAACGTATTAGAAGGTAAATAACAGGTAATATCACGGATAAAGTCACAATTCTCTAAATCAACAAAGGTGGGACTGAAGATACGTACAGCTAGGCGAGAGAGTAAGAGCGTTACTGAAGCGGGGAGGGGAGGGGAGATACACACAAAAACCTGGGACAGCAGGGGGGAGGGAGGGACGCAGCGCTGCCTTCCACCACGTCACATACTCAGCGAGGGAACGTTAACTCGTTTCGTCTCCATCTCAACCTCCTCCTCCTCTTCTCCCCCCGAACACTCTCGTGGCTAAAGCTATACTGTACCTAACTATGGCTCACTACCCCGGGCGTTTCCTCTCAGTTGACATTGGGTTGAGATTGGGTTTGCGTTTTCTTAGGCAGATAGAGCGACGTTATTTGGTCAGAGTTCGGTTGAGATAAGTTTAAACAACTGTTATTCTCGGGCGGGCGGGTGGCAGGTGTCTTGGTGCCGCGGGGGAAGAAGGTATGTATGTATGTATGTGTGTATGTGTGTATGTATGTGTGTATGTATGTATGTATGTATGTATGTATGTATGTATGTATGTTGTCTATATTTACCACATTTGAACTTTTCATCTTATGCGCTCTCTATACGTAAAGATTTCTGATATATAATTCATAGTTTAATGTCTTTTTTTTTATAATCGGAATAAAAGTAGAGGAGTATTTCCCCCTTTTAAATGAGTCAAAGATGCAATACTTGTCTTAGGCGCTGAGGTAATATTTACACTAAGAAAAAAAACATTGTGAGGGAATTATAAGATGGAATATTGTCATTTATTTCCCATTGTTTATACGTTAAATATATCCATTTCTCTTCACCTCTGACGGCACCTGTGTTAGTCTTGGGGTTAAATTTCCGAGTTATAATCCAATGTTTTTTGTTTTTGTTTTTAATCACTATCTTTTTCCCTCTGTTTATTTAAAGGAATAAATTGTTAATGCGTCTGGTTTTTTTTACTATATTAACTAAAGTGTTTGAACATACTAAACAAAAACAAGTGTGGAAAGTTAGTTAAATCTTCAGTGAGACTTTGGGGTAAATGTTTTAGGTTAAAGCCATTAAGATTAGTTCATGTTATTAATAACCCGGGTTAAAGTTGTTCTTATGTGCTATATATCTGCTAAGTATTGAGATAAGATAAATGTATATCCATTCAGCGTTATTATACAGGTGTGTTGAAGGTGTGTGAAATTATGCGTTGATTAACAGAATTTTATAGTTTCCGCGTCATCACATTTTCTCTCATTAGAGAAAATGTGAAATTGAGCTAATAGAGACACTAATGCAACCTGATCCCTGCCTCGCTTCCACCACTAGTGAGGCCAGAGGGTATAAATAAGTATATATTTGGTTGAATCATAGCAACGTGTGTTTTAATGACGTGGTCACTAATA